AAACTCCTTCAACTGTGAGATTTTTATATGATTCCTAATCATCCATATATAGAAAAGCTTCCTGCTTTAGAAGTTTTGGATCAAAAGCCTTTTTGTGTTAGAAAGGATCATTTTTTTTTTTTTTTTCTTTTCGTTTAAATCATAAAGTCTGAAAGATGTGGACTCTTCAGCGACACTCAGTTTCGGGTCTGACAATTGATTGATATTTTGGATTTTTATGACATCACAGATGGAAGAAGATCCTCCGACCACCACCATCCCCATCCCCAAGAAGATATTCATATTTTAAAAAGTTTTTTTCTTTCTTTTGTTTTTGATTTCCCCCAAAACTTCAACCAAGCCACTACATTATACTGACTGGAACATCTACAACCTTACATCTTACCAGTAGGGTTTTAATGAAAGCTATAAATGTAAGCTAAGAGTTCCTTGGATAGTTTAACCGACGATTAAAGTTGCTGAAAACAAGTTAAGCTGCTGCAGCTTCAATACTAATCACCTAAATACAGTTATTTTGTAACTGATAATTTATATAGAGTTTAATTAATAACTGATTATGGGCATGTTTTATTTCTTTAATTGCACAAAATATTGGCTCGCGCAGAACCCCTGCTAGACAATGCTGGATGTGAGTCTTGTTGATGCCTCTGAATCTGTTTTTGCTGTTAGATGTTTTAGAGGCCAGGCTTCTTTAGACTTAAGATTCATTCAACATTTTACTGTTTTCAATGTGTAGACACAATCATAGGTCTTTGTTGACTTTAAGTCAGTTAAAAAAAAAGCTTGCCAAGAGCAGAACAGGCAGAATAATTGGCAAAGACTGGATGTCCTCCCTTGCAAGGATTAATAAATGCTGCTTGAAGCAAGAATTCCAATATAATTTAGTGTTAATATGACTTACCGGTAGATTTTTTTTTTCCGATAACCAATAAATGGAAAACTGAAAGCAAAATGTAAACAGTTATGGAAGACTGAATAAAATAATCAATAGTAGAAATTATAAGTGGACTCTTAGCATCCTTCTGGATTAGCTTAAAATCTCTACTGGTTATTCAGTAAACACTGACGATTTATTTTTATTTTAAGTTTCAAAGGGAAAAGATTCCTGCACTGTATAATCTATTTTATAACTGCTCCATGTGTTAAAGTGCTGCCCTACATGTGAAGGAGATGCAGTAATAGGTTTCTTCTGTTGTATTTTTTTCATTTTTTGTTCCATGAGAAAACCTATTGTACTTCAGTTAAAGGTAAATGTTTCTTGTGATTAAATATTGGAACTGTGATTTCCACAGGTCTGAATTCAAGTACTTTCTGGACACCATCGCACGAGTGTCACGACCAGGTACTGTTCATCATTACTCACAGAAAAAACAGTTTTAAGTATTTAATTTAAAACATTTTATACGTGATTGTGATGCAATTTCTACAGGAAACATGAATTTGCTGGTTTGGGGGCGACTGTGTTGGCAATCCCACCCAGAACATACGTTTCCAATGGCCAACGCTCTGCATGTCGTGCTTAGTAAGACACTGAGGTGGGGATAATTTTACAAACAAAACAAGATTCTAATATCTGAATCAATAGAAGCTTTAGATGCAACTGTAGTCCAGAAATAAGTTTTACATCTTTTTCGTTTGTTTATAAATGTGCGTTTACTTTTCTTACAGCTCAGTCCCAGATCATGCCCACTTTTTGTGTCAAGACTTAGAGAGTGCTGTGCGCCTGGCTACTGAGCCCCCTCTCGCTGACATAATAGAAACCATCTGGATTATTGGTGGGACGCAGGTCTATGAGGTAAATCAACCAATCCAGAAACTTAGAAACAACTTCCAGTTCTGGTTATTGAAGAGTTTTGAAGTATATAGAATATATCTATTTTTTATTTTTATAAAAATAGGAATATATATAACAGAAAATAATTAATTTGATAAAAACTAATACTCTTCTTAAAGATAGCTCAATAACAGCACAGTTTTATGATGTTGCTGTTATTGTTGTGAACAATACTCCAATGAATGTAATTAGTTATTAACAGTGTGTTACACACCATGCTGGAACTTCAAATTATATATGGCACCATCTTGTGGTAGATCAATGCACCTTCACTTTGTAGCACCACAAATTAATACATAGCACTCTACATATTATAACATTAAAAAAAATAATAGATTGAGAATAGCTTACTTCAAATAATTCACATAGATGAGTCTCTTTCTCATCTATGTTTTGTCATTTTTGTTTTCGGAAACTATCTTGCCAAGACCATTTTATTCTTGGCAAAATAAGGACTCATTAAGTGGGATTTACTTCAGGAATGTACTTATCCAACTTCTCTTCCTGCTTGTTTTGGCTTCCAATGCTAGAAATTCCTTCCTACTATAAACGGTTGAATTGTTTATTTGGCCTCACATGACTGCCAGCTTCGCCAAAATTCTTTCTAATCAACCAGAACAATAAGAGAAACTTTAAATCAGTGAATGGACTTCAGAAAACAATGAGCATTGACTGGCTGGTATTACAGCAGTTTAATATTTTTTTATTCAGTGGAAATTTAAATACTGATCTTACACCAACAAAAGAAGAAAAAACACAATTTTCGCTTGTTTATAACATATATTCAAATATTTAACTGTGGTCAGATGCTCTACTGTCTTCTTTTTTTAACCAGGATGCACTGAAGCACCCGTGGAGTGACCTGATTTACCTGACAGACGTGATGGCCGATTTTGACTGCGATGTCTTCTTCCCCGAGTTTGACAGAGAATTGTTTAAATTACAGGACACGTATGTTTTCGTCTCATTCTAAAACTCACAGCAATCTGTGTTCTCTTTATCTGAAATCGTAGGCGCCACATTTGAAACCTGTGGGCATTTAAACTATTTAATGGCAGAGTTTGTTTTCTTTTTTCCTCCCCTATGGCACTGAAATAAAAAGTAAGAGTCAGCAAGTTGTGAGTACAGCTCAAAAGAATTTGCTGATCTAAACCAAAGCAGTGAAGAGCTTTGTTGTTATAATTAGGATAAATCTGAATTGCAAATTAGTAAACGGGTGTTCTTCAAAGTGAATTTTTGTTTCAAGATGCTGAAAAACCTTGCTTCATTTAAACCATGAGCTATATGCTGTCAAAATCTATCTTTCCAACACATTTCTATATCACACAAAGATAACCTTAGTAAAAAGAAAAACCTTTTTTCCCCGAAAACAGCCTAACCATATTTGAAACATTATCATATACAAACTCAATAGCAACAAATGCTGCTATTGAGTTTGTATGATTTTTTTTTTTGCAACACGCATATGTTTTTTACATTGCTGTGGTATAGTTCTGGCCCACTTTACTTAAGAGATTGTCTTCATTGTCTTAAATTGGAGTTTTTCGATCATGGCTGGCCTTTGGAAGGGTTGAGCTTCAGTGATCCTATAAATAATCAAGTCTAGGATATAACTAGGCCAACCCAAAAACCTTTATTTAGTTTTTTTTAGACTACTCAGACATGTACAGTGTAGTGCACCCTTGATCATTGTCCATCTGTTATATAACAATTGTGCTTGAGCTTAGGGTCCACAAATAAAGACTGGAGACAATCCTTTAAGATTTTTTTGGTTAACATCCAGGTCCAGTTTGACTGCCTGTTAATTGTTTTTCTTTTAAAAACATAGGGCCTGCCCTTCAAAAATTCAAAATAAGGAGTTCTAAATTGCGCATGCCATTTTTTTCCTTTTTTTCATGTGCAATTAGTAGGTGTGTTGCACTCTAATATGAATATCACTGATACAGAAGAAGACTCAGGTAGATTCACAGCAAATTACAATCTATAAACAGCAGGATTTCAAAATGTGAATTGGCTAAATTTGCTTTAGGGGGTTTCTGTAAGCCGTTTTTTTTTTTTTTTTTCCTGGAAACCTCTTATTTATATTTTCTCCCCTCATTCTATTTCTTATTGTTGAATCATGAAGTCTGGCTTTACTATTTGGATACCAATATACCCAGGTTTTTATAATGCTTAAAATTACAGTCCACTTTAATCTGTCCATTTATGTTGCCTGTTATAGTTTTGGTTAGGTCTCATTCCAGACTAACTTCTTTTCTCTCCTTTTGATTCCCTTAAGGTTTCCTGATGTACCAAGTGAAATTCAGGAGGAGAATGGGATCAAGTTCAAGTGCCAAGTTTTCAAGAGAGCGACTGCTGAGCCCCTGTAGAGGGGGATGGAGGAAGGGTTGGGGAAATAGATCTCTACCTTCCAAGTTGAGAACTTGAGAATACTGTCAAATTCTAAACTTGTCAGTAATAAAAAAAAAATGGTTTTGCCAAAGCTTGTAAAGCTGATGGAATAACCTAATATGCAGTGAAAGAAGAATAAGACTTCAACTTCATTGTTATTACACTGTCACAAGTACAAATCAACGCTGGGAGCAGTGCTTGAACTCTGAACCTCTGGGATCCAAGCGCAATGCCCCAACAACTAGGCCACCACCCCCTCTAAAGGAAAATAAACCAATTTTTTTACACAATAAACATATATCAAATATTTCTACTCTTTTTCCAACAACCTCTAGTATTATGAAAGGTCTCCTTTTGACTTCAGCTTTCAGTCTTTTGGTTTTCCAAGTTATTTTAATCTTCTACATAAATATTCTGCAGCTGTGCTTACAATGTTTCCATCTGTTGGCTGGTGTAAAAAAACAAACAAAAGTCCGCCTGAAATCTACTAATATATAAACCGTCACTGCAGGTGCCACTTTGGGGAGTAATATGCATAATTACTGTTTTTCTTCCTTATCACAGCCTAATTTAAATAGATAAGGAGAAATGTTCCCATTTCTACTTTACTTTAGGTAGAAAAGTGCAACATCTAATTTTTTTGTACTTTGTTTATTATCCAAACATTACGTAGAGCTATGTCTTCAAAAATATTGATTAAGCTTTTAATGAACATTGAAAACATTCATAAACAATATGTATTTGGATTTTAGGCCAAATAAAATTAATAACTTTAGGTTGTATTTGATCATTTGAGCCACTAGATGGCGCCATGGGTGAGGACAGAAAGTCGGATTTTGCTTGTGATTACTTTTATCCATTTTCATAAAAACAAATAATAATTTTAGCGGAATGTGTTAGGCTGGGTTTCATTTGATTTTCAAAAAAAGTCCACATCTGCTTTTTTTGGTTTGATCTGAAGAAATGCAAGAGATAATCACTCCACAGCCTTCTGTAAACCATAAGTAAAAAAATAAAAACAGTAATATATATATAAAAAAAAGAAGCATAGAGATTTGACCCAGGCAAGAAAAAAAAACTTACATCAAGTTATAATGTAAAATCTTTTATTATTGTTATTATTGTGTGAACCGATAAAATATTTTCCTAATATATGAGGAAATTATTAAGCATTGTGTGATAAAAACAATGATGAAAATTCAACTGTAACATGATAGTAATTGTACATTTATGAAAAGTGTACTTTTATAACAATAAAAATAATTCACCTGAATGTGACATTTCTCCATTTTCCTTTGCCCTCTGGGCCGCTTTGGCCTAAAAAAAACCTGTTTTTTTTTTTCAAATTCGGCTCTAAATTTTCTCTACATTTACAACACGGGATGCTCTAAATAAGTTACTATTAACTTCAGCAGACAGAATCACTTAGTATGTGATAAAAAGACAAATATGACCAGACTTTAAACTCAAACAGACATCTTGATAACAACAACCACAGGAAATTGATAACTTATCCAGAAATCGCAGGCTTGTGTCTCATTATTGGGCCTTTTTTCTTCGTACACAAAAGCAACACTAAGAACCCTCTATGTGGTACAACTTGCAGGGGGGATGTTCTGTTTGGAAGGTAGGGGGCTGGTTCCTTCCCACTTCCTGGAGTCAAAATCAAATTATTGGTGATGCTTACCTTACAATGCCCTCCCTCCCTATTCAAGTTGTTTAAAGATCTGGTCCTGCAATATACTAGTAGTTTATTTTGCTGGAAAAAGTCTATCTTGCCCTGAAGAATAAAATCAATAAAAAAGGAGCATAAATGTTTGATGAAATGTTAAAATCCATCATGAAGAGATAAGCAAATAAGAAATGAGCCAGTGTTCAATATAAAATGTTATTTTATTTTTGTCATCGAATGCCTGAAATTGACCTGTTTATGAAACGTGGGTTTTAAGACACTTTAATTGAACATATAGAGAGAAAGAAAATTTCCATGAAAAATCCTTTGCAGTAAAACCTTATACAGCCTTTGAGAGTGACGATGTGCATGAAATTTGAAATCAAATTTAATGAGTCAGATAGCTTTTACATTTCTCCGCTGCAAAGGGTTTATTTCTTCTCATTTAGATGGTGTTTGAAGAGGACCCTTTAAATATGAAACCCACATAGTGCATAAATCAGGTAATAAGGTCATCTGTGTACTTACTACAGTTGGAAATCATTGCATTCGTCATCTGTTTCTGCTGAGATACGACCCATAAAAGCACTAATTCAGGCTCACTTGAAATAACAAAGAATTCCACCTTCTCTCATATTTCCTTTCGTGCTTGTCTGAGTAATTTAACAGCTTAGTAGGAAATGAGGCGGCTGTTGAAAAGGAGGAAAGGACGGTGGGTGAGAAATACCCCAAGCTCGTCTCATCTCACCTTGACTCATCCTGATTAACTCCTTGTTTTTATTACTCTGCATTGAAGAAAGGCATAAACCATAACCAAGCAGCACGGTCAGTTAGAATTACAGCCGCTGAAAAATAAGAGACCTTCAGGACTTCAGCTACAGTGTACTGGTGGTAATGTTGTTGCCCCTCAGGCATTCAATGTTGGGAATGGTCAGGAAAAATGAACTCTGGTCAGACATCCATCTGCTCAACTCAGATTCATTACCAGATGCTCTCAGTGTTGCATCACCTGCCTGCTGGCTATCACTCTGACTACAGTGAGTGATCCTGAAGGCAGCAGATGGGAAGAGGATGTTGTTAAAGTACAACTGCACAACTCTGGAGGCACACATCCTCTGTCTCAGTCATGACCCCCCTATTGTGGCACGAGGAAACCTTGAGGCATAAAGTCATGGCTTCATTAGCTGAGAAGCTCACTCTCATTAAAAAGTCTCCCTGTGTTTCAAGGGCTTTCATGGGCTCAAACATCACAGCAGATTCATTATAACATGCCCTCCTGATATGGACAAAGCACAGTATGATATTTTTTTGCCTTTCCCTGCATCCCTTCCTCACTCAAAAGATTTTCAGAAGCATTTTAAGCTTTGGGACATCAAATTCTTTCACAAATAAAGCTGAGCATAAAGGCTTTTGGATGAAAGGCCTGACAATCATTTGATTTTCAAATACAGATGAAATTAAAGCTCGGAAGCATTCTAATATTTATTACTGACCCAAATCTTTTCAAATGTTGATGTTCCCAGTCCATTTAAAGTGATAACTAAGCGGCACTTTAGTAGCTGATAATAAAGTGCTTCCATCTGCAGAGCAACAATAAAACTCCGAGCTGTATTTCCTCCCTCAGGGGAAGAGTTGCAGAGAATCCCGTAAAAATGAGACTCCGGCTGTAAATAAAATGGACTGAAAAGCCTAATTTATGCTCAATAATACATTTGACAGCAACTCAGCACGTCTGTCATTAGGCTGTTATGTCAAGCAGAGTTCTTATGAGAAGTTATTGTGACGGTGTGATGTTTTAATGAGCTGTGAAATTTTTCCCATCTGGAAAAAAAGACAGCCTTTATTCAAAAAAAAAAAAAAAAAACACTGTTAGACATCATGATGGGGTTGCTTTTCTCTTTTTGTCATCACATTTTCCCCTTCATTTCTTCCAATAAAGATTTGCAGTGTAATAACAGCACACTGCTGTCAAGCTTAATTGGGAAAAACCACATGACTAAGTCAAAAAATAAGTATCATTTTCTACTACTACAGTAGCTACCTGCGGTAAAACATCACCCTGTTCTGCTGGAAGAAGCAAATAATACTCCATAATACTTGTAGGAGAATCAGTTATTTTTATGACACTGAGGAAGTTTAAAAGAGGGAAAGTTTGAGGCATATTTGACTTTAAGCAGCTTCTAGAGCAGGTGGAAACAGCATCACAACAGTTTATATGTAATGTAAGTGAAAGATTTCGCACCTCATGCTTAAGAGACAAAAGCAGGTGGATGCACTGAGATTTCAAGCACTTATCAGGTGTCTTTGAAAGAAAACATTCAAGAATTATTTTGTAAAAATGAACAAGAAAACATCAATAATAACTCCACAAAAATTTGGTTTAATTTCCATGCAGTGTGTAGAAGGACCACAACATCAATAAGCTTCTGTAAGAATATTGGATCATTTTCTGTGTAAATTGGGACGCTTTCAGGCAAAAAAAGACCCTCAACTGTGCTAAAAAGTTGCTTTAATATGATTTTATTAAGACTTACTTATAAAGCTTTACTTCCTGTAAAAAAAAAATTGCTCCTTGACAGAAAGAAAGGGTTGCTGTTCGGAGGCTCTAAAACCATGTTAAAGTTAAATTCCCTTTCCTGTTAACAGTGACGAAGGCGCCCCACCTTATTCCAACTTCTTTAGCTATTTCATTTATCCCATATCCCTAACAAAACCCAAAATAACACCAAAAATGACACATGGCTCAGTGATTACATTTTAATTGGATATTATTAACTTAACATTCTGAAACCTGTGGAGGTTTGGCAGCAGTTGGAAAGAAAGCACAATACTTAAGGTTAATCTTTCGATTAATGTGAAGAAAACTGCATTAGAAGTTCTTTTACCCACGTTCAATTTTAAACTTGAACATTTCCCACCAGGGGTTGTTTCAGTTAAATATTTAAGGCATCCTTAGATATTTTATGCTGAATTTCCATCATGCAAACGTAACCTTAAAAATGAGTGCACCATTAAGTTTAGTACAGTATTATGATAGAGGCACGCATTAAAAATCCTCATCAGAACAACAAGCAAAGACTAATTATCAGTTACTACTTTTATAAATCCATCATCTGCTTAGTCATCTCCTTTTAGAGGAGCAACAGGATTAAAAAGAGGTCTCTCTCTGCGCAGCTGCAGTTTCCCAAAGCTCATCTCAAAGTCTTTCTTTGTACCGTTTATGATGTCTAGACTACCTGTGCTAATATCATAACCACGTATTTTCAGTTGGTGGATGCGGTATTTTACAATCTGCGTGGTCAGCTCCAGGACAGTTGGAGTCTTTATGATTTGAGGCATGCTGATTCCAGAGCTGAGGAGGCCCTCAAAGCGCTCGGCCAAAGTCGATTCTGGATAGTAAAGAAGAGCTGGACATTCGAGGATAATCTCCCTCAGCTCTGCATCAGAGCAGCCGATGGTTTCCTGAGAGAAAGCCAGGGTCCTACACATGCTGTCCGGATTCAGCTCAGTGACAAAACCCCTCAGTTTGGAGAGAAGTCGGAGGAGCTCTGCTGTGGTGAACCCTTTGTCTTTAAGGAACATCAGATTCTGTCTTAGCATCTCCGGTGGTTTTAATAGAACAAATGGGTTCTGACTCAGCAGCTTCTGCAGCCATATTTTCATGTTGGCTTCATCCCCACCAAGCTCCCTGTAGGCCTGTTGGAGGGTGCAGACCATCAGTTGGTTCTGCTCTACAGGCCTGCTGAAGCTCTGTGGAGCACTGGCCATCAGTTTGGTAATAATCCGTTTGTTGAGGTTAAGGCTCTGGAAGTAAGCAATGTTGTTCCGTTGGTTTTCATGGTGACTGGATGCGGTGAAGAAGGAGGCTGGGAATTTCTCAATAATACCAATCAGCTCTCTGTGGTTCCGACAAACAGACATCCATAGCTGCTGCTGAGCCTGCAGCTGCTCTGGATTGCAGAGGACAGCCTCAGGGTGAACGACCAAGATATGAGCAATGATGGGGCTCGAGGCTCCCATGTTTCTCAGCAGGCAAGCTACCTCCTTAGTGTAGGCTGGAGTTTGATGTAGCACCCATCCTTTAAGTTTACGAACTTTCTGGATGTCCACAGAGAGCTCATAAAGAGCTTCCACAGTCTGTTGGTTCTCCACAGAGCTGAGAGTCGAACAAGCCCTGAGGTTTGAAGGTAAAAGTGGGACATGTTGACATCGCAGGCACAAGGATGCTGCAATCCAGCGCAACATTGAGACGAGGTCCTCTGATTGCTCAGATGCTGTGTAAGAAGAGAAATGAATAAAAATCAGGAAACTAGGTTTCTGAAACAGCAACAGTCATCATCAAACGTCCCGATTGTATCATCGCTCTGCTTTGTTTTTAGATAAAGCTGAAATCAATGTAACTTGGGCAAAAGAAGACATAACTCAGTAGAGCTTCTACTCGTCACAAGAAAATATTTACTTGGTTGGCTATTATTTAAATGTTTACATATTTGTCTTTAGTCCACTAACAGTACTTTACGAAAGAATAAGTCGCCAAGAACCAAAGTTAAAGAAAACACAAAAAAATTACTGGTCTGCATCTACCCTGATCTTGTAAGGACTATAGTTTGGCCTAAACATCAGAATATTACAAATTTCTTGCTTACCTATAATTGTCCTACATTTTGGGCATATCATTAAAATATTTCTGCTCCAAACACATTGGTTTGTAGTACTGTTTTTTTTTTCTTTTTTACATAATTACTTTTTGCATGTGTTTTGTGTGTTAATCTAACTTTTGGATTAGCTAGTCGAATTTTGTGTCACATAGGCTAAGTTCACACCGCAGGCCTTGATGCTCAATTCCGATTTTTTGGGGGGAAATCCGATTTTTTTGCGTTGCCGTTCACATTTCAAAATCTATGCGACTTGTATGTGATCTCCTGTGTGAACTGGACTTATACAACATAAGTGTCCCGCATGCGCAGTAGAGGACGCAATGACTTCACAAGCAAGCGCGCTCTGTGTTTACGGAAGTAAGCATGGATGGTAGTGCTGGAGAACATTAAAGCGATTATTCCCAAAATTAAAAACTCAATCTTTCCAAGATGGTTAAACAGAAATACTAATCTCCGCATTATCGTCCACCATTGTTGTTGTTCTTGCTGCTTCTCCAGAAGAGTGACCACTGTCGGGTATTAATGGCGTTAAGGTTGGATGAATGCCACCTGGCTGTTCACACATAGGTCGCATTTGAAAAGATCAGATTCATATCAGATTCAGGACCACAAAGCCAAGCTGCCTGGGTCGCATTGGAAAAAATCAAATCTGTGTTGTTCAGACTGTCATGAAAAGATAAGATCCAGGTTGCATAGGGGCAAAAAAAAAAAAAATCAGATTTGGGTCTCTTCAGACTGTGGTGTGAATGTAGCCTTAGTGTGTTTTCTGGTCTGACTTATGTATCTGCAGGATGTTTGCACATGTCAGCCACTGTAGAATAACCTTTTTTATTTCATGAATCTAGCTGCCATTGTGACATTAAAAAGGACAGTGGGAGCTCTACATTTCTGCTCCACTTAATCACTGCAGACTAAAGTCACCTCTGCAGTTTCTCATCTTATTTTGGGACATAAATCAATAAAACTTTAACTAAAGGATACTATGCCTCATTCATTTTTTACTGTAACACCAAACCCATATCACCCTGAACAAAAAACCTATAGTGTCTGCATTTTAAAGACCAATGTGTGATGATCTGTTATCTGTTTATTTTGTTACACTTTATTAAGTAATGTCAGTGAAAGTTAATAGAAGCTTTAATGAATCAAACGGTCAGCGAGGAGACCAAATAAGAGAGTAGAAAGCAACAGGAATGTCTGGTCTGATTAAACCGAGACCGTTGAAGTCACATTAAAATAAATCCCTGTACATTGAGGTTTTAATTTAACACACAACACGAATTTTGGGATTCTAGCTTTGAAGCTACAGCTGGATTAGTAAAATCGGTGCACAGCAGGAAGCCAGTGGCTCAATTTTATGCCCCATTCAATGCGTTTAATAATATATTGATTTATCTTCACTGGCTGGAAGCGTTCCTGTTTTAAATGATAGAGAAAAAAACACAAAACTGAAATGAATTACCTTTAGCAGCGGTCACAGGATGTGACGTTTTGTTATGAAACACATTTTTAGTAAGGTGCAGAACAGCGACATGTAGAGGTGGTCCAGGGTACTGCAGGAATAACAACTAATTAAATTTCTTTCTTTCTCCTAACACTATAATTTCAATGGCTTTTGCAAAACAATTTTCTGTCAACTTTGATTTTCATAGTGAAGTTGTAACCAGCTGATCTGTTTCAGCTGCCTGTAGTCAGCTGCTTTATCATCATGTTGCTCCAAATTCCGTTTTAAAGCAGCACATGACATGAGATGGTTGGTACTGCTTTCCTTTCCATGTGTCAGTTTATTTGGCACCAAAACTATTTCTAAATTGACCTAAACTGTACACTTAAAAAGTGGAGTAGACATCTAAATCTGGTAACTCTGTTTGCCGTTGTATTTAAAACACTAAAATTGTAGAAATTTTAAAATGGCAAATCTTTACCTTTTCAAAGTACATATTTTGCAATATTTAGGAATTGCCTTACAAACATTGCTATCAAAAATCATAAAGGAGAGATAATAAACAACTGTTTAGCATTTGCCTTCGGTTCAGAAATACACACAATATCCATACTCACCAATAAGATCATTGAGATTAAAGATTTCCAAAAATTGCTAACTGGCAAAAAGTTATTCCCAATCTTTTTTTCCATAGTAAACCTCATGGTCCTTTACAACTTGCACCTTTTTGAAACTCTGCTAATTTATTTCCCCCCATATGTCCAGTAATCAAATATTTTTTAGAGAAATCTGGATCTCAAACAGCAGTTGGTGCGCCTCCAAACCCTGGAGCAAGAGGGGTCCTGATGAGTGTAATCAGCGCCAGACTGAATTGGACTGAACACATGGAGAGTTTTTCACAGTTGGTGCTTAATCATGATGCTTGATCATCAGCTCTGCAAGCTGTTTCCTCTGCCGAACAGGACCTGCTGCTGTTGCTGTGTGAGTATCTGGGTTCATTATAGTTTATGTGCTAGTAAACAGATTATTTGCCCCAAGGGAAAAGGAGTTGGCAAAAAAAATTATACCCATTACATTATCAGTAGAAATATAGTTATTTCAGTCATTTGTTCAAGGTTTTCCATGCACAAAGACATAAATGTGATTTTTTTTCTTTAGTACCGCCAGCAGATTAAGTGTCTTCCATGGGAAAGTCTATAGAGTAGAATCATAGCAAAAAATTGTTTCTTACATTCCCACTCAACCTGCTGATTGTTTATGTAGCTTTTATTGAGATGTTTTGTATTGGCGTTAAAACTTTGTTGGACAAATAAAAGCAGACAAGCCAAAATTCAACAAATAAAGAAAATGAGTCCATTCATACAGGTGAAACTGTAGGTTCCTGTCAAGATGCTCTGACAAATGAGGCTTTGGCAGCTTTCTTTGTTAGAATGTGTTGTGGTTTCTCTAATGTGTAACTTTCTGTGGGGTCTGGAGTTGCTTCATAACAGAGATGTTGCTTAAACTTGATCAAACAATGCCACTTCTAATAACACATAAAAAAGAGGCATTATCTCAATATCTTCCCAGGCCCAATCATTGAAACCTCACAAAGAATTCCACTATCTAGTGTCATAAGGGTTTTTCACTAACCTTTGTCCAACATGGTTAGACATTTGTTTATGAAAGAAATAATTTTCCCTTGTAAAGAAGTTCCCACAGTAAAATTAAACACATTAAAAGTTTGGGGATTTCCAGCCGAGTGATTGTGCTCTCCTGATAACTCACTGTTCAGCTTACCTATTTGGAAATTTCTTTTACTTCCAAGTCTTGTTTTCTGTGTTGTATAAAAGAAAGTGAAAGAAAGAACTTGAGTAACAAATATAAATGCCTAAGTGGCATGATAATGTATTATAAAATTAGGCCATACAGTGCTGGAAGTGTATTTACATAATTTCAGATTTACCGGTAAGCTTATTTTATTAAAGCTTTATTGTAAATTCAAAACTTAGCTTCAAACTTTTTTTTATTAGCTGAATAAAACTATCCCAACAAGTATAGCCCATGTGGAATACACTCTCATTCAATCATGTAAAATAAAGAAATATGTTTCTTATAAACTGTACCTGTTATTGAAACCATTTCGCTCTCAACACCTGACCTGTTTATTGCTAGATCCGTAAAACTGATACCTTAAGCTTTGTAAAATGTAAAAACCCCTGGTTTAAGACTTAGACCAACTTACAAATAGGGAGATATATTGCTAGTGAAGGGGACATCACTGATGTCTTTTTACAAATGCACACATGATATATAGCAGATATTCATCCAAGTTTTAATTTGTGTATTGTTTTATCTGAATATGCAAAATTCAGAACTATTAATTTAGATTCTTTAGATCTTTTTATCATATATCTTATTATTTTCAAAAGAGTTATCTGCTATTCCTGACACTGTTTTTAAGTACGCATAAAAAACAAACTTAAAGGCCAAAGTTCGGATTTAATATGTTGCTGAAGTGGACTTTAACATGGGGTGGAGAAACCATTGAAAGAAAAAAAAATCTCTACATATTGAACTGCATTTGTTATTTAAAGGCACAGCGTACTGTTATTAGAAATTTTCATTTTTATTGGAAGTTACTCACACTTTCGCAGCACAGAGGCGGGCCATTTATAAAAAAAGTGCAGTGTCCAAAATCAACAAAAGAAAAGATTATTTAAGAGCTGCTGTAATGGCTCATACTGGCACCCAGATAAAAAACCTTTTCATTCAACCTTGAATGTTGTGTATCATGTTACCCGTTTACAAACAAACATGAAACTAATCCACTTGCTGAAAATGTAAGGGATAACATTTTGACATTTTGCTTGTTTCACATCAGGAAATGAAAGACGATACTTACACCTTTACCGCAACTGAAACAGTACATGATTTTAATCACCTGATACATCTCAGATAAAGTATACTCAGATTTTCCTGTTTTATGATTGTTTATGCTGACCTTAACACATATTAGAATAATATTAATAATAATACAAAAACCATTGCATGCAATGTAGTTGCACGCACAAAAGCAACTTTCCAGAACGGTTTTTAACCACTCCTAACTGCTGTCAAGCAGCCTGTTTGGTGACTCTGCTTATCTACTGAAGAGTAAAAACCTGTCATAATGACAATCTCAGTTAAAGAATAACAAGAAAGGAAAGTCTCATTGGTTACTTGTCATACAGTTACAGTAAACACTTGCACACTTATCTGATTTGTTAATGTGTATGTGTGTATATGGTGGGAACCGTTTTCAATAAATCATAAGATCACATCATGAGGATTGAGTGCTGTAGTGGGGACAATGTCTCGTCCCCATGAGTACAAATGCTGTTTTAGGAGTTAGGTTAACTGCTAAGGTGTGAATCGAGTTTAGTTTAGGAATAGGGTTAGTAATAATCCCATAATGTTTAGGTTTAGGGTTAGGTTCACAGTTAGACAGTAGAATTCACCTATAAATGAATGGAGGTCAATGGAAAGTCCCCACCAGAATAGCGAAAACAAACAGGTATGTGAGTGTGTGTGTGAGAGCATAGGGGTGTGTATTTTTGTGTTTGCCACTCCTTTTCTCTTTTGGCATTAGATTTAGAAGGAAACAGAGTTTGGTGGCGGAACAAATGAGAAAACGAGGTGGATTCATAGAACGAAAACTGTGTGAGTTTAGCTCAGTTTTGAATGGTGAAGTCAGCCAACATGACCTGGATTATGACCACAGAGCTTCTGCTTTCTCTTTTCCTCTTCAAGCTGGTCTGTGCTCAGGGGCCAGTGGCTGTATTCAGGGAGGAAGGCTCCAATCTTGTGATGGGTTATTGTTTTGGAGCGGATTACATCGTTATTTACAGATCTACTCCAGATGGAGACCAACTTCTAGGTAACTCCTCTAACAACAACCTACCCAACACACCTCCATCAGATCTCCAGGGTAGAATTCAAATGAATAAAGAGGAGAATCTTCTTGGGATGCATCTGGATGGACTCACTGGACAGGACTCTGGGATTTACAGGAGGGAATGCTGGAAGAACCACAGTGTGGTCAAGAATCACACAGAGCAGCTCTTTGTGTGCAAAGAAGAGACTTCATCTGAAGAGATTGTTGTGAATGATGAAGGTGGAGCAGAGATTCGATGTGAGAACCCTTCTGTTGGAACGGACGGAACGTTTGTGCGCTGGTACCAGGAGCTTCATCCAGACTACAAGTCCACACTCCTGTTGGATAGCAGCGTTTCACTGGAGCCTGTGCTAGAACAAATGCAAGGTTTGGTGAAGGCTAAAGAAAACGGGGCTGTGCTCATATTAAACAAAACTGTGTTAAAGAGTTTCCCTCAGTATTACTGTCTTGTGTTCAAAGGTGAGACTTGCCTTGGTTTCCAAAACATATTCTTTCCAGACCACAGTGAAAGCATCGACATTTATGTCTCCAAAGGGGAAAGTGTGATTTTAAATTGTACTGGTGATATTAAGCAACTGCAATGGGAGACACCACTGGGACACATCAACAGCAGCAGCCAAAGGAAACATCAGATGTACATATCAGCTGATCAAGAGCCGACAAGCTTCTCCTTAACTATCCCTGTCATTTCTGATGAACTCAGTGGAACTTACTCATGCATTTCTCCTTCGTTTGAGATCCAGTACTCAGTGTTTCTTTGCCCCAAAAGTGTACCCCTGGAGAGAGTTGCATCTGTGGGAGAAACTTATTCACTGGAATGCCGTACTGGCCTAGATAGCTCTAAAAGAGTCCAGTGGTACCGCCATGTGCAAGCAGGGCCCTTTAAAGTAATTGCTGACACACATGATGAAAGTTTTTCTACCCCATTTGATCTGATAGGTAGAGTGAATCTTTCTGATTCTGGATTATTAACCATCTCCAATGTGGACATAAAAGATTATGGGATGTACAAATGTGTTGTTTTAAATGAATTCCTGGAAAATGCAATCACTGAAGATTATGACTATAAGGAGGAAGCTACGGATGAAGTGGAATACAATGATGAAGAATACACTGAGGATGTAGATAG